TATCTCAAAGTTAAACTACTATAAATGACTAACTTCTTATGAACTACTTTATATGATTCCTAAAACGAAACCTTCTTAACTCTACCCATACAAACTTTTTGTAGGTCTTCTGTCAGTATGATACCTTATATCTTTGCTTCACCTTTCTTTTATTGAATATAAGCACATTAAGAGGAGATGAATTGGGGGCTGGAGAGGTAGTTCAGCAGTTAAGAGCACTGGCTGTTCTTGCAGAAGACCTGGGCTCGAATCCCAGCACCCTCATGCCAGCTAATTACAGTTCCAGGAGATCTGATGCCCTGCTCTGTCCTCCACAGAAACTGCACTACACAGGTGCACATACAGACATGCAGGCATAACACTCATACACATAAAAATAAATAAAGAGTTGAATTTATGTGAGTACTCAAGGTACCTCCAGAATTAAAAGAGTAATTGAGGGCTAGAGAAATGACTTGGCTGTAAAGGGTGTTTGCTATTCTACTGAAGGACACGAGTTCAGTTCTCAGCACCCATGTCAGATGGCTTAAACCACCTGTCACTCCAGATCCAGGAGACCCAATGCCCTCTTCTGGTGTCCAAGGGTACATGCACATACACACAAATACACATATAGAAGTAAATACAAATAAAATTTTGTTTAAAAAAAGTAATCAAACTTCAACTGTTGAAAGAAAATGCCAACAAATGCCTAACTAAAAAGAAATCTTAGTGTTTGATTCAGTAACACACAAACTACAATTAGAACAATACAGAGATGATTGACATGGCTCCTATCCAAGGATGACATATTCATAAAAAAATTCCATCTTTAGACCTCTGCCCCATGGTAGGATAAGGCTGAGGCCTTCACAGAAAGCTTGAGAGTGGCTGTTCTGGTCTCCATCTGGCTTTGATGCTGAGAACCTAGCAGACCACCTGAGAGCACCTGGGTCCAGCCTCCATGTTGTGTAAATGGAGCCCAATTCAAACTGGCCAACAGCCCATGGAAAACAAATGATGCAGAGACCTGAAAGTTCAGTGCCTTGCCACAACAGGAGGGAGATCATCCCACACCTACCACCCCTCCAAGGTTCAGGGACTTTTGCAGAAGAGGTTGGCAGAAAGAATGTAAGAGCCAGAGGAAGGGGTGGAGTGTTAACTGGGAAATACCCTTCAACCACTATGCTGACGAGCTATAGCCACACCTCATTCCCACTCTCATCAAGGTGTCAAGGGGGGAGTCAGTTACCCCTCCCACCCAATCAGTGGACGTTAGCTGCATGTGGGGGGGAGGGGCAAAGTATATATAAGGGGAGAACACCAAGAAGCACGTCTCTCACAATTTTGTGCGGTTGTCGGGAGGTCACAGGATCTGTATTTGAGTGTGGACTTTACAGTGCAGCCATAAATGTGGGGCTCCCACTCTTCTGTAAATAAACCACTACCCTATGCTCTGCTAAAATAAAATAATTTTTTAAAAATTCCATCTTTAAAAAAAATCTTTAGTAAATAGAAGAAACATGAGCAAATGAAG